TACTTAGGCGAACGAGGTGATCTACGGCTCGTTGGAAAGCTAGCAGAGTGCTCTACTGCTTAGAACAATTCCCAGTTCCTGCAAAGTAGAGGAGAGTCCTCTACAACAATGGAGACACCAAACTGTTCACTGGAGAGCAGCTGTCAAGCTATGTTGCACTATACGCAACCTGTTTTTTTGTATCACGTTTATGCGTTCACGTATAAACCGAAAAAGGTGATACGGGGACAAATACGCGGTACGCCTAGACGGGCAGTTCGTCGGGAAAAAAAAAGTTGCGACTCGTTCTCGCGATCTCTGATTCTCCGTAACCTAATTTTGACATTTGTAAGTCGAATGCCTTCCCCCGCACCCACCCCCCCTTCCACCGCACATAATCTCACACCACCTCCCAACCCCAACCCTGACGCACCTGAAGAAATTAGCGTCAAGGAGGAAGAGAAAGCAAAAGAAGAGGAGAGGGAACACGATTATATCAGGAACGACTTGCTGCAGGATGGGATGAAGAATCTGCACGCTGGAGCAACATGGGGATCAGTAACTGGTGCATCTGGCACCGTAAGCGGCTAGGGGACCGGCGGAGGCACCGATGGAGGAGGCTGGGGCACCGGCGGAAGCGGCTGGGACAACGCCAGAGCCTAGGGTTTGATCGAAGGGAGCTCATTCGTGAAAAACTAGAGGAGGCAGAGAGAGAAATTGCTACCGAGCGAACCCCGCCAAGGGTTGTAGTTCCTCTCGGCAACCTCCACGTAATCTCCCATCACCACATCGCTCACCTCAAACCTGGGACTGGACCTGGTCGGAAATTGATGAGGGGAACGTACGAGGAACTCCGCCAGACGCACCCGGACCAATCTCGCGTCTAGATCCCTTCGCCCGCTTCATCAAAGGCACCAAAACCCCGCTCAAAGGAACTTCCTCGCGCTCTACCTCACAACAGCATCTGCAGAAGGAGAGACAACACCAGAACCATAAGTAGAGGAGGAGGGAGACGAAGCAGAACCAGGAGAGGAATACGGACCCGTGCTCTTTATCCCCCATTAGACAAAAGCAGAGGCAACCGTCCGGGTCTCACACGAATTTTGCGGGCTAGCTGGACGGATTGGCTCGGACCAAGGTGGACTACTCTGATGTTACGTAGTAACTAGTTTTCCTTGTCCGACCTCTTGCTGGCTCACAGATTGGACCCTCGTCCGCGTGGTCCGCAGCGAAGTACAGTACTGGTTCTGTGTACCCTGGGTCCACGGCTCAGGAATTGTTTACACGTGTAGAGGTGGCAATTTTGTCAACTCAGCATGATGAGGTCTCACACCTAGCCGGGTATATACATACATACCCTCAAAGATGTGTGGCATATGCACTGGACATGCGGGATTCACGAAGCTATCCCGTTTGTCACAAGAATGTAAGTTTGACTCGCTTGGGTCTTCCAAGAGCAGCCACCCAACCTGTCAGTTACAAGAGGTGGGTGTTTGCAATCGATTACGAAGCTTGGGTTTCCAGCCCGAAAATAAGGTTGAAAGTAGTACAAATTGAATCCTCTGTGCGGAGCAAACCGAGTACCGCCCGTATTTGGACGCGGTTAATCATATCGCCGGCCCTGATGTGGGGCGGTAGGACATAGAATGCCATGCTACTTGCCGTGCAAGCGGTTTGAAACCCGTTTGAGCACTGTTCATCGGTCTATTCGCTGTGGAGACAGTTGAAGAACTGCCTTCGCAGGAATAACCGCACCCCGATAGAAGTTTAGTACACCCTGTTTCGCGCCACACTGACATTCGCCATATTGACAAGCCGGTTGTACTGACATCAATGCATCCAAATTGGTCCCAGAACATACCATATAAGCACTTTTGCCGCACGCAACCGAACGCAAAAGCACGTTTTCTTTCATGAACCGTTGTCTACCGTTCTCCTCAAGTGCATTTTGGTTGCAAGCACCAGCCCGCTGAATCCAAGCACACGTGCGCACTGTAGCCGGGGCTCCCGATTGTCCGAACATCGAGAAACAGGGTGTACGTGTACAAAACAGTACAGTACAACACCATTGATTTCGGAAAGCTTCATGCAACCACGGACGGGGTGTTTCTTGGCATATGTGATGCACTCCGAGGCGACCATTTCGTTTTTGGGCATTCATCAAAGTGTGTTTTCCAGGGTCACACTGCTCGCTCTTCGCTTCTAACATACAATTCCTGCCCCTTTGCAAGTAGGTACTTCAAAGGTGGGCTCTGCCCCATATTTTTTTACTTCTGTTTTCTGAAACGAAAACGTGTCTTTAGGTGACGCTTTGTCCGAGCCAGTGTTCACAGAACTGTCCAGGACAGTAAACAGACCTGGATATTCTGAACGGAACAGAGGGAACTGAAATCTCTTTACAATATCGGTGCACATTGTCGTCACGCGGTGCTGCTTCCTTCGTGGGGATACCGACGAAATTTGTATGGGAAGTTAAAGGCGGGGTGCAACTTCTTAGGAACAGTAGGGGGACAAAAATGGC